CTGAAAACCTGCTGGAGTGTCAGCTATGAGTTTGTTCCAACTCAACAGCACATAACAATATGTGTTGATAGTAACTTGATGGCAATGGATTTATTATATTATTTATATTACTGGGGGAAAAGTTGCTATAAAATCAATTCTGACTTATAGTGATGCTACAGGAAGGAACAGAACTGACTCACAGAGTTTCTAAGAATGCAATTTTCACAAAAAACAAACTGTCATACCTATTTCCCACAGAGTTGATGGCTCCAAATGGTTGACCTTTCCCTTCCTAGTCAAATGCTTAACCACTGCATCACCAGGGCTCACAGAAGTTAAGTGCTCTGCTAATAACCAGAAGGCCACTATGAGATGCAGCAAGAATTACAGGGGCAACTGCTTTTGTACTTTAGATTGTGTGTAAATCCCACTGTATAGCTGATTTTGACTCATGGAAATTCTCCATTGGCTTTCTGACGCTCTAGATTATAATAGAGGGAAATTCCCTCAGCTTTCTTCCATGGAACTGCTGATGTGCTGAACTCCACCAGGGCTCCTTTAGATTATATATAACAAAAAGGGGAAAGGGAAATCCAACAAAAGAAGCTCCCCAACCCCCCCCCCAAAACCCACAACAAAATAAAAACAGTGCTGTCTAGTTGAATCCAATTCTTTTTTTTTTTAAATTTAGGTTGTTTATTTTTCATTTCAATGAACATCTACAGAGATTTTGGGATTCCATTCATTCATTGTTGCACCCTTCTCCCCGCACAAACCTCTCCCCCCCCCACCCGCCGTTTGCTCCTCTCCTTGAAAAGCAAAAGAAAAACTCCCTCATTGGTACACAATCCCCCCCCCGCACCTCCCCAAACCCCACCCTCTACCCCCAAATATAATCCACTCTGCAACCCTCATTGCACACTCCTACGATAAAAATAATTCCCTAAAATATAAGACTGAGAAAAACTGGATGAAATATGTTTACGGCATTGAAGTCTATGGGGGAGAGAATAGTCTAAAAGTATTATATAGTCTGAATCCAATTCTTATTGGCCCTCTGTTGAATCTCTAAGACTGCAGTTCTTTCCTGGAAGAGATTCCTAATCTCTCTCTTTCAAAGTTGCTGATGAATTAAAACTGCCAAGGTTGTTAGTAACCCCACAAAGTACACACTAAACACCAGGGAGCATTTTAAACTATGTATTAAAAAAGTCAAACCCACTGCCATAGAGTCAGTTTCAACTCATAGCACCCTCCACCAAGCCTCCAAGGCAGAAAATTGTTCATGTGAGGAGACTGACCATCTTTCCCCTGCAGAGTCACTAGTGGACAGAAGCATAAATTCCATGAAGAGCCAATGAAAGAATAAGTCTGATCTCTTTTCATCCAGTAGACCACCAACGTACCTTCTTGGGGACTGATAGGCCCTGCTACCCTGAAACACATAACACTCTTCTTTGTACAACACTGCACTGTGTGCACAATTTAAAAGAAGTCAGTCGTTCTTTCAATGGCCCACATTTTGGCACCAAGAAAAGAAATTTATCTGCAAATAAATGACTCTACTGTTTTACCGCTGGTAGAAAACATATGTGGTGCTGTGTTTTTGTTTGTTTTTAAAATTTGTATTTGTGTGTGTGTGTGTGTGTGTGTACTGTCAAATCAGATCTGACTGGCAGAGGAGGAGATTGTCCCTCCTTCCCCAGCAGAGCATCTGGTGGATTCTAACTGTTCATCTTTGGGATTGCAGTGCAGCTTCTTGCCTCTAGGCAACCAGAGCTCGCCAGCGGTGCTGTTTTAGGGCCTCAAAAGTTTAAGCATTTAGAAGGTTTGGATTCTCTATAGAAGGACATCACTCTCATACAGTCTCCAAAATACATTAGAGGCGACAGGAATACCTGGCCTTTTTCAATGGCTAAATGCCACTGAACGTACAAGAGAACATACAAGGCTAGCAGGTGAACTTCACAGAGTCTTTAATTCAAGAGAGAGTGAGTCAGCAAGCCATTTGTTGAGTGGCTGGAATGCATTTGGGGTGATGGCTTGCTGAGTGTCTTCTATTGTTCAGTTCCTGTGATGCTTGCAGGCGGTGGCTGCAGTCACTGAAGCGGAAGACACCCTCCCCACACTCCTCACTGTAGCTCAGCAGTCTTGTCATGCTGCCCACTGGAATAACAACTCACTAGCTGGGGTTGAAAAAAGCTGGCACTGAGAGGCTAGCTGCATTAACCTGTGTTAGTACCAAAGGAAGGATCCACATAATAAAGAATGCCACCCACTCCACCATCACTATTAAAACAGAGACTAGCCATTTTATGGTGGTATTGGTGAATTTTGAATATTTGATGGATGGTCCGAAGAACAAAGAAATTTCTTGCAGAAGAAGAGTGGCCAGAGTACAGTCAGAGGTAGGATGGTGAAACTTTGCCTCATTTCCTTCAGAGATGCTGTCAGGAATGTGGATTCCTTTGAAAAGGCCATCATGCTTGAAGAAATAGTCAGCAAAGGAGAAGACCCTCAGTGAGACGGATGGAAGCAATGACTACAGCAAAGGGCTCAAGCAGACCAGAGATTGTCAGGATGGTAGGCGATTAGGCTGAGTTTTATTCTGTCATACACAGGTTTACTGAGTCAGAACTGACTCGATGGCACCTACCAACAAAAAGTAGATTAATAATATGTTGTTTGATTTCTTGATTGCTGTTCCCACAGGAAAATTCCATCTGTAAGTATACATGAAGGATAATGTGTAGCATAAAATCTGCCTGTTTTCATGGAATTCAAGATACACATGCTGTATAAAGCAACTGGAAAGGAAAGAGAACGCAGGAATGACACACTGCATTGGGCAAATCTGCTGTAATAGACTTGCGAAAAATGTTAGAATTGTCACCTTGAGGACGAAGGTGCCCCTGACCTGAATCATGGTATTTTCATTTACCTCATATGCACATGAAAGCTGGACAGCAAATAAGACAAAAGCAGCACAGATGAGTCTGAATTATGATGTGGATGACAAATGTTCAACATAACATGGATTGCCAGAAGAATAAACAAATCTATTTTGGACAAAGACCAAGACATTCCTCTAGGTCGTATAGCCCTGGTGTACAAGTTGCTGTCCCGCGGTCACTTGTGGTTGCTGTGAGGCTGAACACTGTGACACGGATGTGTCAAATGCGTTAATGGTTGGCTACCCAATGAGGACAGAGAGTGAGGTGGAGCTCCCCTATTAAAACAAGCTTGGAAGGAGGAGTGGCGTCCACTTCCATAATAGCTTGCCTCCGGAAACCCTATAAACCTGGAGAGAGGATGAAAAACACCCAAACGTCGAGGACTCTCCTTCATAGGGTCGCTATGAGTCACCTGCGACTCGACGACACTTAACAACAACAACAACAACAACAACAACAACAACAATTTTGGACAAAATACAAGCAATGCAATCCTTAAATGTGAGGATAGGAAGACTTCACATCCTTTGGGTGTGTTCTTAGGAGGGAGGGATTAGCCCTTGGAGAAGTATATCAGAGTTGGCTAAGTAGAAGCTCAGTAAAAAGTCGAAGATCCTTCATAAACTGGATTTATAAAGTGAGTTAGATTTTCAAAATTTCAACAATGAGCTGAAGCAAAGCAGAAATTGTGGGGATGGGACAGCACAGGGCAATATTTTGTCTCACTGCACATTAGGTCACTATGAGGTGGAACAGATATGTTTTCTAGCATTCCTTCATGGTACAAACGGCTAAACATTTGGCTGCTGATCAAAGATGGGAGCTTCAGATCTATACAAAGTTGCCTCACAAGAAGGACCAAGCAATCCAATTTAGAAGATCAGCTGTTGAACACTCTTTGGAGTCTGGGTCTTCTCTGATATGCAAGAAGTTGCCCTGAGTCAGAACTGACTGCATGGCAGCTCACTACTTAACTTGATTAGTCATTTTATGAAAAGAGAGCAAAGCCAAGTGATACGGATCCAGTGTTTCTCGGGAATAGTTTGTGATTTAAAGAACTCAGGGGGTTGGTGCAGTTTTCTCCTCTTTACGGTAATTTAGGCAAAAAAGTAAGAGGAAACACACAATGAGAGAAATCAAGAAATGAGTTAGAGTAAGTATAGGACTTTACAGAAAAGTTCACCCAACAACTGCACTCAGGAGAAAATGGGATTCAGCCCAAATAATTATCCTCGGGAATTCCTTCAAGCGGGTGATGAATTCACAGGGATGTTTCACGCTAGGTTAGTGTCACACTACTAACTTCAATCTCAGTGGAATAGTGGTGCTCCAAGCTCTGTTCTGTGATAAGCTTGCGCCGGGATATCATCAGCATGCTGCTGGCTTCCTTCATTGAGAAAGTTTTGCAGTGAGAAGCACGTCAGCAGAATGAAACATGTTAAAGTGACAGTCTTCTACATTGTGGGTTAAGCTTTATCTTTCAGTGAGTAGTAATGGATAGTCAACAACACGTGCAAAAATTACACTTGGGGTAACATTGGTAAAATTGCCTTGCAAGACAGCTGGTCAACCACTCGATTTATAGAAAGGGAAATGAATGCAGGGAAGTTCCGGGGCTTTCTAGAGGACACAGCTAGTTACCCACACAGCCAGACCACCTCTCCTTGCTGCCAGCTTGTTGGGCCATCTGCCAGATAAGCTTCACCACTTAGGAAAAGCAGTTAGAAATAGTTATTGCTCAGATGAAAGCAGGGTGTGCAGTCATGGACATCCGTTTCCCTGTCTGTGTGGAGACTAGAATTCAACCAAGACTCAAAAACAAGCAAACAAAGAAACACAAAATACAATTACTGAAAATTTCACTCTATAAACACAGAACTTGACATAAAGATATATAAAATTTATTTACAGAAACTGAGTTTTAAGAAAAGAGCTTATAACTTAACTTTAAAACCTAAGAGTCTAATGCAACGTTAATATCTCAGCATCCTAACACCTAACAGAGGTGAAGTTCTCACCCCGGTAGGAACCAATAGCAGGAATCAGTGTTCTTATCTGGTTTACCTTCCAGGTGACCCTGATGCTTTGAGATGATATGGGCTCCAGGTGAACTTCCTGAGGTGGGCCATCAGGAGCTGTAGAGACCAAAAAAACCCACAAACAGGTTAGACATGTGCCCAAGAGCTGACTGAAACCTTCACAGCAATATGCAGCCCTATATACATGCCCATGTTAAAGCATAGTCACACATTCACTCACTGCTGTCGACTTGGAACCACCTTCTAGCTGATTCTGCACTGGTTTTCTGAGGCTGTGACTGGATGGGATGAGACTGCCTATCTTTCTCCCATGGAGCAGGTGGTGGATTTGAAACACCAGAGAGACACGGTCTTTGGGTTAACAGCACAACTCCCTACTGACAATTTCACAACTCCTTTGATTAAATATATATTTCCACTTTAGTGAACAAAATATTTTTTTCTTTCTTCTTAAGGAAAATGTATCTTGAGAATTATCTGTCATTGGGCTTTGTGGTGTGTTTTTTGCTGCTGTTGTTGTTTCTCACCATGGTGTTGACAAATTGTTGAACAAATCCTAAGACCACACAAGTTAAAGTAAGAAGTCATAAAAAAAAAAAGCTTGTTTCGGAAACTCTTGCTGTGATGCGTACTGAAGAGATTTCTCTTTCCCAGTGGGGTCTAGTTTAGTGATTGGGCACTGCAGGAGCTCAAGTTGCTCAGAACCACTGGAGAGGGGAAAATATTCAGGAATCTTCCACCTTTCAGTAACTTTGGTAACTTTAGTTCTATCCACAGATAGGAGAAGCAAAGAGTCTACAATTTATACTGATCTATTTCCAATGTTGTTGTTGTCATGTTGTAGAGTTAACTAAGACTCATAAGTGGCCCGATGCACAATGGATCTGAACCCTGCCCTATCCTGTGCCATCCTGACCATCTCTGACATACTCAAGCCCACTTTATAAGTCAATTCATCTTGTTGAGGACCTTCCTCTCTTTCACTGACTCTCTGCCTTTATCAGCATCATGTCCTTTTCCAAGGACTGGCCGCTCCTAAACAGTATGTCTAAAGTATGTGACATGGAGTTTTACTATCTTTGCCTCCAAGGAGCAAGCACCCTGGCTGTTCCTATTCCATATGTATTTGTCCTTTTGGCAGTCCGCGGGATAGTCAGCACTCGTCTTAGAAACATGTCTATGTCAAAAAAAAAAAGAGAGAGAGAGAGAGAGAAATATGTCTATGTCCAATAGCTGTGTGGTAAATCAGGCAATCACGGACAAATTCAGACTCTTAATAAGATGGATTTACCCAGTGGCTGCAACAATGGGCTCAAGAGCAGCAGAAACTGTGAGGGTGGCATAGGATTGGACAATGTTTCTTTCTTCTGTTGTGCACAGGATCACCGTGAGTGGGAACTAAATCAAGAGCACCTAACAACAATAGTAGTCATTTTAGAGCATCCCTGCACAATACAAATGGTTAAGCACCTGCTAATAAGAAAGGTTGGAGGTCAGAATCTACCCAGAGATGTCTCAGAAAAAAACGTGTGGCAACCTGTTTCAGAAAGCTCAGCCACTGAAAGCTGCGTGGAACACTGTGCCGATCTGACACACACGGGATCACAGTGCGGTAGAGCCAAACCAATGGATGACAACAATGTAGATTTGGAGGCTGGAGGGAAATTAACATCCTTATGGCTTCACTTACCAATAACATAGTGCTTTGTTCATATTTTCTATATAGATTTGTCTACTCTTTGAACCCATTGGGCAGGTCAGTAACATTATGATAGATGGTGAGGAGATTGAGATCATTAACAGCTTAAGTTTGCTTGGCTCCACAGTCAACGTTCTTGGTACAAGCAGTCAGGAAATTGAAAGATTAATTGCATTAGAAAAGTCAGCTGTCAGGAACCTCTCCAGAGTACTGAAGTGCAACAAACAATGTCAGTCTAGATACTAAAGTGTGCCTGATGCAGGCCATAGTCTTCGCAATTGATTGCTACGCATCAGAGAGCTGGACAGTGACTAGGGATAACTGAAAGGGATTTGATGCCTTTGAGCTGTGGTGCTGGAGAAGAGTGTTGAATATATCGTGGACTGCCAGGAGAACAAACAGGTTCATCTTAGAGAGGGTTAAGACCAGGCTGGCTTCATCTGACATACTTTGGGCATGTTACAAGGAGGGACCAGTCCTTGGAGAGGGACATCATGCTTGGAAAGGTGGAGGAACAGAGAAAGGAAGACCATTGATGAGATGGACTGATTCAATGACTAGGGGTAGCTGTGTGAGAGACAGTAAAATTGTCACAGGATAGAGCAGTTTTAGGGATATTATATAAGACCATCCATGCCTCTAAGACCACCCATGCCTTACACCCTGTTTGTACTTCCTTCAAAACACATCTGCTTGTTCATTTGGCAGTCCATGGAATATTCAAAACTTTTAGCCAACACTACAAATTAAATTCTTTAAATAACATACACATGTATATATAAGACATATAAGTCTTCTCATAAATTGTGATTTCCCCTTGTAAGTTTCTTATTTCTCCGTAAATAGAAAATTTCTATAAAATGACGATCCAAATAATACTGAATTCCTAGTGCTAAAAGTATTGAAGATTAACCATTATCTAACCATCTACTTGTCTAAATTTTAAAATCTAGTTGTTGATATTTAACGTTTACAAATTTATTTACACAATGTCAAACGGAAATCTTTCTTTTTAAAAAACCAGAATAGTTATCCTTTTATTTTTTTTCTGTAGAAGGAAAAAGCGCGATTCAAGTATTTACAATGAAACTAATTTCCAAAATAAATCCTTTCAGAAGCCAAAAACTATTCAATCTGTAAAATAGTAGTAGATAGGTTATATTTGCATTTCAAAGATTTTCACTAAGCAAGGCAAATTTTACTAATTCCCTGTGTCTGAACATACAAGGAAGGCAAGCTCCTCTTCATTGCCACAGCCCTGGTGCTCTGCACAGTCCTCTCTGGGTCCTTCCTGCAGGCTCTGCAGTGCCCTCCTGTGGACTGCCTCCTTCCTGCCTGTCCACTCTGGCTAGTCTTCCCTCTCTCTGATAGCCCCCTTGTTACATTCAATGGAGTGTGCCCTCCCTGCTGAGTCCAAGAAGTCTGCATCATCAATGAAATCTCAGTTCTCAGCTCCCAACACAAGTCCTCTTCCAATGACCAATTTCCTGACTTCAATTAGACTCTTGAGGCACACTTGATTATTATTGGACGGAACTGAATCTCTGCACTGAGAATCTCACCCAAATTTCACTTTTTAATTCCTTATTGGGACAGTGACTGAGAGTCATGGTGTAAACAGTAAAGGGCTAATAGAAATGTTGGAGGGTTAGCTCAACACCCTAGGAAGCCTGGTTCTCCCTCATACTCCAACATACATGAGGTCCCCATGAGTCAGGACGCATGCCAGCTGTTAGTGGTGAAAATGGGCAGGGGACAGTGTGTGCCAGATGGCAGTGGGTTGAGTTTTAAACCAAGCTGTCAAAGTGGGATTCAATGAAAATATAATAATTAGATGAGAACTTCAAGGTGGTGAGGGTAGAACATTCCAAACAGAATGATGACTTCCAAACTGAAAATAACTGTAATCCTGGAACCAGATAACTGGAGAAATGGGTGTGCGGTAGGCCTGGTTCTTCTTACTGGGCTCTGTACTATTTTGATGAATAATACTATTGACATTGAGCTCTAATACACACTGCTGTTAACAATTTTATTTTTCAATGCATTTGCCTTTTTTTTTCCAATCTCTTAAATCCTCTCCATAACCTCTTCCCATCAGTCTCCAGCTTTGCACCTAGGAGACCTCACCACCACTCTGACCTTCTTTCTGGGGCTGTAACGAAGGGTGATTCAGAGACCATCTAGTTATTGGCAGATCCAAAGGGAACCCAGTGGCTCTATGCCATGACCCTTCCCTAATCCTGACCTCCCATTCTCTGATGTGTCTGTGAAAACTCACCAGTTTGTCAAGGAGGCCTGCATAACTGAACTTCACTTGCCAAGGAAATGATTGGAGGAATCAGCCACTCCTAGCTCAGTCAGGGCACTCAGCGACATGTGACCTGAGGGGGCCGCTGCAGATGGGGAAGCTGGTCTTTGGTGAGGGTCAGCTGAGATGTGACATGCTGATTAGTGTCAGGGTTATCCTGGCAACACTAGGCACACTTTTAGTCCATTAAAGCGTAACCTCGCTTACTCTGACTATGTCTCCACTTACTACTGCAACTTCTCCTTCTCAGGGTGTTAAAGGTTGATGGGGTGAGTCAGGAACAGTGTGATCAACAATGTGATCTCTGCTATTTGGCTGTCCTCTGAGGTCAAGTGTATCAAATGGCATGATAATGCTTCTTGTACTTTAACATAAAAATAAACTGAACATTGCAGAGTTGGAATAACATTATTTTCTGACATTAGACGAATGTGTTCTGTAAATAACAATAATCTCGTCTTCAAAAAGTGCTGCAACAGACATAGCAAGAATCCAAAGCTCAAATGCCCATGGAGGCAGTGTCTAAGTCAGAATATTTGAAACAAAGAAACCTGGAAGGAGTAAATCACAAACAAATCTGAATGCTAGGAGATCCAGAAACATTAAGGTAAAAGCACAAACACATGAGACGCCAGAGAGGAAATTGATTAAGATTTGTGGGTTACCAGTGGTCTTTGTCACATCTCATTTTTTTCTAAAAAAATACATTCCTTCATATTTGTAAAAATGATTCTTAGCTCAAAGCTGTACACAAACAAGGCAGGTTTTGCCCATGGGCTGTAGCTGGCTGAACCCTGACTGAAACAAGCAAGGGGAAGGGGCCATTATTAATAGGATGATACAGTCAGCTATATAAATGTATTTGAACTGTGATGTCAGTGAATACTTTTGACTCTAAACAAATCAGTCTTGAAAAAAAGGTAACCAAATATTGCTCATATGCTAAGATATTGAGCTTTTGGGGGCTTTTAAAAACACATCTTCTCTGGATGGCTCATCAGGAAGAACTAATCACTAGAAAAGGACAGCCTAGTTGTCAAGGACCAATGACAATTAGTGCCATCTTCAGTGAGAAGCACTGACACAAGAGTCACAACAAGGGACGTGCACATGCAATCAGTCGTGACGGTGACACAGAACCAGGACATGTTTCATTCTGTTACAAGTAACGTCACACTAACAACCACAACAATGAGTAGCTGTCACATACTTAGCTCCAGCTGGTTATTCTGGGTGAGAACCCAAGAGGAGCTTAAAATTTATAAATTGATAGGAAATTTCAAAACGTTTAAAACTGAGAACTAACTGAAGGATACATGCTTCTACATCAGATCTACTGTGGTTTACACTGTATGATCTGAAACATGTTCGCCCTGTTTCAGAACTAGCTTAGAAAACTGTAGGCTGAGGGGTCAGACACTTCCTGTCATTGATTCCTGCCTTCAACCCTTCCTCTATCTTCTAGCTCTACACATCACCTTTCTCTACTTCTTTTAAAATGAAGTACTCCAACACATTCAATGTGGACTGTAACCACAGTGTATTTTTTCACCACCCCCCCATACACATACTGCTCAAGATCACATACATTCTAAAAGTAACTTTTGAAGCATGTTTATGAACATCTAATCCACATATACTGAGCTACTTTCCTGACATATAAAACACACGTAGTAGAAATATGAGAAGCACATCATTCTTGGTGTTGAGGGATCACAGGGTAACTCAGGACACAGAGTCTATGGAAAATTGATGATAGACCTATTTGGAATATTATTGCTTTTTAATTTTTGACTCATGTACTTTTAACTTGTTAGTTACATTTGTGTCTTCTAGGCTGCAACACTTCCATGATACATCTTCAAGGATATGAACATGTACGGCTAAGCACAATTGATAACAGTGCATCTAAATTCCAAAATCAATCTCCATAATAGTCTATGTGTTTCCTACTGCCAAAGGGGCCCTTTAGAGTAGTGAGAGAAGATCTTCACCCTGAAACCTACAGCGTCCCTTTCTAGCAGGAAGTAGCTAAGAGAATACGCCATCCCCTTTTCCTTAAGAATCAGGGTGAAGTCTCTCTCAAGGAGGAGTGATAGGGAATGGCAAGGGACACACTGACAAAGGAGATTAATCAGAACTGGCTTTGACAAGCACTGTGGCAATTGGACAATTAAAACAGACTTACAAGGGGGGAGAAAAAGAAGAATGAACTGGGGAGGAGGGTAGAGAAAATAGTGTAACAATGAATGAATGAAAACCCAAAACCTCTGTAAATGTTCATTAAAATTAATAAAATTTAATAATTAAAAAAAAAAGCTATTGCCAGAAGGACATATCCTGTGTGTGCTTTGGGAAGGAGACACAAATCCTATTCAAGGAGACTGGAAATGGCATCACAAGCACCCAGGGAGGGAGCACCTTTGTCCTAACTTTGAATGGAAGAATGTTGACAGGGAATCACAGGGGCTCTGAGTGAGTCATTTACAGACACATGAGGGAGAATACACATGCAGAGCAGCAGGGAGTGTGGTCCTGTTGGGAGGGCATCACTGCACTGGGGGACTTTGCGGGTGACTCCCACAGTAGTTTAAGTCTCACAAACTCATTTTCTTGGTCAAGTGGTGAGATATGGCCTCAGATTGCTGACAACTGGGCATCACATTCATAAAAATGAATCTGTTCACAGATTTTGGACGCTTCTATCTGAGCATGCCCAGTGCCTGAGAGATGATCACTTTTTATTTTGGTGATGGGCAAGAAGGCTGGAAAAAGGCCATCTCAACATGACTGTAGTTGCTAAAAGATACACTTTCAGGCAGCAGCAGCCACTGCAGGCTATTCTTATTAAGATGCCCTTTGTGAGGGTTGCTGGACTCTAGTCTACCTGAGTCATTATGGGAGAATGCTTTTTGGATTGCAGTCACGCAAACCAAGACAAGGCAAATTCTGCTCTGTAGATTTACAAAGATTGTTCCTTTCCTTGCACTCTTCCTTGGCTTGCCTGAGTAAAAAATGAAAGAGGCCGTGGTGGGTGACTACCAGCACCAGGTATCCACAAATCTAAAACCTCACCCAGAGCTGAGGAGGAGATTGCTGCGTCTGTCTGCAGAGACGCTAGGCAGCAGCACTGCAGCTTTGCTCCAGGAATGGCTGGTCACCTGGCCTCCTGGCTGGGGAGGAAAACGCTGCCATGGCAACTGCCAGCTGCAGTGCAGGTCAGAGGAAACAAGAAAAAAAAAAAAGCAGCAGTCACAGCATTAAGAACAGCAAGAAAACAACAGCAAAATGCACCACCAGGGAAATACAGTTATGCTGAGAAGGTTGTTGAAATGAGGCTGGGTCTGATAAGGGGATTAACCAGAAAGGAGAAAGTATGTGTGTGGATGGAGTCAAGATGATTGTGAGTGGAAGGCTGAAGAAAGCTGCTCCTTCCAAATAACCACAATAATGAAACTCCACAAAGCTTACTGGTTATTTTAGCAATTCTCAGTGGTACAGAGTTAGCCATCTTGGTTACAATGGAAAGGTTAGAGACTTGAATTTACCCAGAGCCAGAAGAAAGGCTGAATCTTTCAAAAGTCAGTCACTGAAAACCTTTTAAGTACATGTTGTTGTATATCATAGAGTCAAAACCGACCCATAGCTGACGCTCCAGTGGGTTTTTAGATGCAGTTAATAGCTCGGGCGGAGATAACCCCTCCTTCTCCCGCATATAGGAATTATTAAATTGGCATATGTTTTGTTGTACATATTTTTACACAGTTTAAATAAAATCCAAAACACACAAATATACCCCTATGGAGCACAGTTCTATTCTGACACAGTGTCACCAGGATCGGTGTCAACTCTTCAGAAATGATATTTTTTAGAGGGTTTTTGTAAAAATAAACAATGGTGGATTTTTAAAGGAGCCTATTAAGACTTATTTGCCACTTAGTTCTGAGACATTAAAAGAAATTTTAGAGCTTGGAGCCTTAGCTTTTTCCAACTACTAAATAAATTTATTAAATGTCACCCTCCCCTATTTTATGTATTTTAAGTGATAAATACTATAACCAAGTATCAGAAGCAAGTTCACATTCAGACTTTTAAGCATAAAACTATCTAAAAACCGATGCTTGAAAATAATTTTCATTATAGAACACAACATGGACTGTCAAAAGAACAAACAAATCTTTCCGGAAATGCATCCAGAATGCTCCTTAGAAGCAAGGATGGTGAGCCTTTTTCTCACACATTTTGGACATGTTACGAGGAAGGACCATCCTAGAGAAAGACATCATGCTTGATTAAGTCATGGTCAGTAAAAGCAAGGAAGCTGCTCAATGACATGAACTGACACACTGGAGTAACAAGGGGCGTAAGCACAGCAGTGATTGTGACGACGTAGTAAGACAGGCATCACTTCGGTTATACATTGCTGTACGGTTGCTTTACATAAGAAACAGTTCAACGGCACCTACAACGAAAGTGTTGACACACAGGCACTTTTTAGCAGTTTGGAGAGAACCTATTTTAACATGTGTTAAACATATTTCTTTGAGGGAAACTTAGGAGATATATAAGTCAAAGAGAAAATACATTATTTTTGTAATTTTGTGATTATTTTTTATGTTCTAATCAAGCAATCCCAGTTTCCAGTTCGTGGAGAATTAACATAAGCAAGTTTGGAAGGAAGGTTGAGGTACTGGATACTCATCACAGTCATCACAGTGATGTTTATAATAGTGCAATATCAAAACAGCTTATATAGCTAAAAACATAGGATGTGTTAAATAAACTGTAGAACACACCATTACAATGTGTTGGAAAGTATTTAAGATATATATAGATATATATGTAGATGTAGATATAGATATAGAGATAGATAGATAGATAGATAGATAGATAGATAGATAGATAGATAGATAGATAGATAGATATAGATATATCTCAGCATTGTCTTTTTGGAGTACAATTGACGAAGGTAACGGAGAACCACAAGTGGGAACGTTAGTCAAGGACAAGCTGTTATCAAAGTTGAAAGCTAACTGTAAAGGGATTCTCGGGTCTCTGGAAACGATAATCACCTCAGTCATGTTGGTGGTGAAGCAGGATTAAAGGATGCAACCTCTCAAGATCACTGCAGTAGGTACTGCCTGGTCGGCAGAGATTGCAGGAAAAGAGGGCAGGCTTCAGGGCCAGACTTGCCTCTCCTCCAAGAACTGAGCCAGGTCTTGATTCCTTATGTTTCCTTCCTCAAAGAAGCCCATAGGTGTTTGCTTTCCCCTCTCCTGAAAGGAGGTCGGTTGATCTCCAGCTTGCACCATTCCCTGCCTTGTCACCTAGTCCTCCACAAACAGGTTCATTTCATTTCCTGACAACCCATAAGGACTACAGGGCTAAAGAACATATGCCTCCATCTGTATGCGAACACGCATGTGCAAAGATGTGATGAAACAGGTCCCAAAGACTGTTTACTAGGTTACACCCAGACATTCACAGGTTTGCATTAGGTGGTTAAATGCAGTTCTTACTTTCTTTAAAACATCTATCTACAGTCTCAAAATATTTTAATACCTTAAACAAATTACTTTGGAATAGAGGGAAAGCACAATATAGTTTATTAAAAATATTAAAATCCTTAAAATCGCCAACACAACTTTGCAGTCAAGCCCTTCTCTCTACCTTGGTTTTCCAGAGTCATGAAATAAAACTCTCTTGCAATTGGATTCATGTATTCAAATGAAGTAATTATAAAGTGAACACGATGCTTATAATATCACGAGATTTCTAGTCCCATATATCTTTCTTTAACTCTGGCATATTAAAACCTTGAACGTAATTCTATTTGAAGAGCAATGTCTGTGATTTTTACAGGACACAGAACTATGGAGAACACTCATCACAGTATTCCTCCGAGAGGCCAATACAGGGTTCTGCATGCAATCATTGGGGAGCCCCAACAGTGAGCTCCAGAGCCGGACGTGTGCCGGGCCAGGCGTACCTGCCTCGTCCGCCGTGATGGTGAGCTCGTTGCTGGGCTCGCTCTTGCCGATCCGGTTCTTGGCATACATGCGGATGCTGTAGGTGGAGGAAGGGTGGATATCAATGATGGTGGCCGAGTTCAGCTGAGGGGAAACATCTTTGGTTCTCTGAGCAGAATCCCAGGAGTCTTTTGGGTTTTGTTTTTCAAAAAAGAAGAAATAGAGACGTGAGTTTTTTTCCTCTGCCTTTGAAAATTTGCAAGTAGGAATTACACACACACACACACACACACACACACACACACACACACACAGAAAGAAAGGAGAGAAAGAGAAATGTCAACTCAAAGTGAATTTTTAATATAATATCCCCAGTTCTCCAGCAAAGTTCACCCGCAGTGGGGGGCCAGCCCCCAGTCATTTTCCACAATGAGAGATGGAGTTGAGAGGTTCAGTGGAAATACAGAACAGGCAGATTTAAAATGTTCACTAGAAAACACGTGCTGGAGACATCAGTAAAATGGATAACAGCTACTTCTAAGTACACACTGTATAAGATTTTATGAATTATGTTTTTAATAACCTCTGTATCTATGTGCCATCTTTCCCCCCCACCCCTTGTTCTAAACAATACTTAAAAATTATGAAAAGTCTTGTTATATCTGGTAAGAAGGTTTCTTTACCAAATGCAAGATGATAAAATGAATATTTACTACAGCTATTTTTACTGTAGATTAAAACAAGAATATTTCCTACAGATACCACCAACAGTCTCCAGGATATACAATACTTACCAACTATATTTATCAATTTTCAGGGTTTTTTGCATCACATAGCCCCTAATCTGTAAGTGGACAGATTTTTTTTGTTTGGTTTTTGTTTGTTTGTTTTTAAAGAGCTAATTTTAACCACAGCACATGCCTTGTTTGGGGAGCTATCATGAAGTCAGTGGCAATGTACTTGCTGATTTTCAGACTTCAGCTAAGGATGAGAATGTCCATTGATGCATTTTATTTCAGAAAGAGTCCAGGCACTTGTTGATGAGGAAATGGGAGGTGGGGAAGCTCCTAACAATAAACAATTTGACCTTTAGTCTAGGCTCCTGAAAGTAAGACCATATCTGAAGCCATTGAGGGCTGATTAGACCAAGAAAATCTGTCTGGAAGCCCAACTGGTAATTAACTCTCAGGACACGAGGCCATTTACCACACTAAGGTGAAAGGCCTTTAGAAGTCGGAGATTTGATGGAGCTCCTTGTGTGGTAGAAGTGAACACATGATCTTAGGACAGTAAATGTATCCCCTGGTGAAATAGAGCATGGCCATTCTGTGCCTACATCTCTTCCAGATGGTTTTAAATATGTGTCTCCCTGCTAGACTAAAGACAGCTTCTCCCTTGATGTTTTTTTAGTTGTTCCAACTCTTTATGGGACATGAAAAACAGAAAGGACTAACACCCAGTGGCCTAGCCCTGGACGAATTAGAATGAGAGAGGGGAGGGAAAGAGAAGAGACCAGTGCTTGCTAACCTTGTGCCAAATGACTAGGGATGAGAGAAAGAGGAGTTGGTTTGTGCTTATCAGGCCTGGCGAATGCAGTTGACAGAAAGAGATGCTTTGACATATAAGGTCTGAACTGATCAGGGAAGGGCTATAGTAGGGAGTATGCATGTGGAGTGGGATTGGAAAGCTAGAGGATTGGTGAAATAGAGGAGATAGTGATCTATCAACAAGATGAACTGACATAATGATTTTAAAAATGGGCTTCAGCATTGTGGGGATCATAATGACAGTGCAGGATAGGGCAAGGCTCCTATCTGCTATTCGTAGGATCGATATGAGTTGTATTCAACTCAGCAGCATATAATACCACCACCACCAAAGCTGCCATCACAGTACAATAATTTTAGACCCCTTGAAATGGTTTGCTACACGAGATCTGGTCAAGAGATGGTTATGGAAGACCAAAGTTCTCTTTGAGATAGTGGACAAAGCCAATGCTGATACATTCCCACACTCCCCAGAGTTCTAGTTCTCTTCCAAGGTGAGCAACATACTTGTGTTTCAGTTGTTTACTGTATTCCTGGTGAACTCTAAGCTCCATCTGGGCAGGGACCATGCTTGCCTTGTCCTGTTCTGTACCTCCAAGGCTAGCATAGTGTCTGACATACATAGCAGACAAAAAGGAAGGCATGTGTAAAGAGTAAGGAGAAAGTATCAAGATTTCAGAGTCTTCTGAATCCTACTCTCTTTTTTCACAAAAAGATATGCATTGTAGCCATAAATGCAAGAGCTTTTCTGGATTTGTCGGAAAACAATAGAGCATAATGATTGCCTTTGAATGCTTTGTTATTGTTGTTGTTAGGTGTTGAGTCAAGTACAACTCAGCAATCTTATGAGCAACAGATCTGAACCCTGTCCTATTCTGTGCCATCCTCACAATCTCTAACACACCCCCACTGCTGTAGTCACTGTGTCAATCTACCCAGTTAGGGGTCTTGCTCCCCTTCACCATCCCTCTACACTCACAAGTATGCTGTCCCTCTCCAAGGAAGAGCCTTACCTAGCATCAAGTCCAAAATATGTGAAACCAAGTTTTATCATCTTTGCCTCCAAAGAGCACTCTGGCGGCACCTTCTCTAAGATATGCCTGTTTTTCTTTTGGCAGTCCATGGGATGTTCAGTGAATGCTCTAATTTAAGAAAGTTTCATCTAAGGCAAAGGTTATTGAGAATGGAAGAACATTCATTCCAGGGGAGAAAATCTAAAGATGAAGAAGAGAACCAATAGAGGACAAAGAAAGGAAGGGAATTTTGTTCCAATAAAGAGCACATAATGATGAGCTTTGTCCATCCTCCCAAAAGAGCCAGGCATACTAGACAGGATAGTTAGGACAACAGGGAGGAACTACATGTACTGCAATGTACAGAGAAGCTTGCTTATTAGAACAAAATGGAGGAGACTTCTTGTGGTGACTTATCGCTCTTACCAGGACGGTATGGAAGCTTCTGACTAGGACAGTATGGAAGCTTCTGACCAGGGTGGTATGGAAGTTTCTGGTACTGGTAGGGCCAATGAAGACAGGCTTGTATTCACTGGAGTATATATCTGGGAATAGCTGAGAGCCTCCTGAAGAGGTATATTAATATCCACTGGCTGCCTCCACCACTCACCAATTCTCATGAGTATGAATAACTCATGTGGGAAGACCAAGGCAGGAAGACTTTGGCAAGAAGCCAAAGGTCCTAGAGGAAGGGACATGTTTCACTGTTTCTTCCTTGTAATAAGATTTTTTTTTTAAATGAAAAAGATGGTATCAATTATCATGGCTTCTAGAGAATGAATTAAAACATCAGGTTGAATTTTTAGTTATATGTCAAGGGGATGATGAAAAATATGTTATTACGAAGGATTTTAAAGTGAAAGAAGGAAGAGAAAGTATAGTTAAAGCCACTCTGGGAAATGATACGGCCTGGAAGGAAAAGTAAAACAAGGAAATGACCTGGGAGAATAGAATTGGAATATAACTCCAAGTGTGACTTTTGAGCTCCTCGGCTGATGGGCAAATAGGCAGATCCTGGGTCACAAACACTGGGTACTTGAAAACATAACAGTGGGATTTAAAAAATTTCACACAGAGATTCTGAGACATTGGTAGGGTGGGATTGAAATGTGAAATATCAAGAACACATCACATACAGAACCAAGAAGCCTTTTGGTTTATAAACAAAACTGTATCCTATGTCATTTTTATATTATTTTCCTAATCTTTTTTCAACATAAAGCTCTATTGAAAAACTCAAATAGCTTTTGAACAATGCCGTTTTAAAGCACATTTCAACAGATGTAATAATAACTGACGAAGATACTGTAAAACTACTTACTGATAATATTCACAATTTTAAAATAAATATGAGTAGAATATAGAGTAAAAAAAATGTACACTACAAAATCCAGAAACATGAAGATAAAAAGCATGAACTGAGAGTTCAGATCAGAATCCAAACAGGAGGGAGGAGAGTGAAATTTCTGGGGAATTTATTATAGGCTCCCAGGCCCAGAGAGCAAAGGTAGCCTAGAGGAGGGCGCTCATAAACACACTTAGCGAAGTGTTTATTTACTAAGGTGGGGGCTGGGTAAAAACATCCAGCAGGCAGGGTGAGGCTCCCAATGACCAGCATGCAAAGTGATACCAGAAGCTCTGGGATGTCAGGAACGAAAGGAAGGATGATGGTTACAGAAGTCCAGACAGGGCTTGATGTCAGCATGAATCCATTTATCTACTGAGTAGAACTGCTCCATGAGTTCATGTGTCTCTGGAGTGAAATTGCTCCACAGGTATTTTTAGGCTGTGATCTTTTGAATGCAGATAACCAGGTCTATCTTCCCAGGAACCTCTGGGTAGGTTTGAACTATCAACGTTTCAACTGATAGTCATGCTCTAAATCACAGTGGGTAGAGAAATAATAAGGAGTCCTGGCAGCGTAATGGTTAATCTTTTTGCTACTATTCTGTAAATATTACAGACAAGAAAACCTTAAAAAGCATTTCTACCCTGTCACATGGGTCAAAAATTAACTCAGTGACAAATAACAATTATTTCAGTGTCTGTGGCTTATTTCAGTGCTAGGATGAACTATATTTTACTATGATAAAGTATAGATACCCAATAGCATTTTCCCCCATCTCTACATGCAAAGGACTGCCATTGTTTGTGTAGAAGTTAAAAATAAATAGGCTACTTCTCAATTTGATAGTTTTTAAATAACCCAAGACAGAGTGCTCATTTGAAAAGTACTGCCACAGTGGTTACACATGGGCTCCTCCTTGGTACCTTAATTTCCTCATCTGTAAAATAAAACTAACAGCAATTTTTGCTTCATCAAGTTGTTGTGATTGGCATATGAGTTCAATTCATATAAAAAAATCGGGGATGGGGCCTGGTACCTTTTAGTGTTGGCAATTGTTATTTTAACATTGGGTTGTTCCACATTCCTGATGTACTCGATGCTTTTGCAGAATTCAATCTTAGAGTCACTAAGAGCACTGGCCTCAATACCTGATGCTACAGGGTCTGCCTGGACAGAGGTAGGGCACCTTCTGCCTCAGAAACTTTCTGCTGTTCCGGGCTACCCAGTCAAAAACACACCTCTGTTTGCTTTTGAAGGCACAATGGGCCTTGTTTCTATGC